TTTTTTTTTTTTTTTTTTTTTTGGCCTCACAGCTTTGTATTCACGGGACCTTTTCAACAAAAACAGCTCTCCTCCCATACACCAGAACATACTGTTAAAGGCCTCTACAAAAAACTGAGAGCTTTGCTTTCAAAATGGCTCAACCTAAGAAATAACTGAGACCATGGTCCTCCATCTTGTTGGAAAGTGCTCTAATTATTAATGCACTTATGCAGAACACGGATAGGGGTGCTTCTAACTCTTCCATTGGTTATGGAGTGTGTAGGTTTTGCCTACAGCTAAACCAGGAAGCTCTGGCCTTTTAGAGTCCAATGCTGCTGACTTTCAAGAAGCCAAAGTTGTTACACTTTTATATTGACTGCAGGTATTTTTAAAGTTCTGGGGTACCTTCTTGCTTATATTGTGGTCTTCAATGGTACAGAAACTACAGGACTGTGTAGGATTGTCTCGTTTCTTTACATCTAGCTTCTTGAAGTTACTGATCCTACTATCTTTGGAATAGTTGGAACTTTGCACTGATGCAACAGTCTAAATCCTTTTATTACCTCTTCATTGGTAGTAAATACAATGATAGCCAATGACTTGACTAATAATATTTGATTATTATGTGTTTGCGGTATGTCCCTTAACTGTTACCAATCAAGATGTAGGTATTTAAAAAAACAATCATCAATTGACTACATTATTTTGCAATTATTTGCCACATGTGCAATTCAACATACGCAACTATGATAATCTTATGGAAACATTAACAACAATTATTTTTCAAAAGAAAGAACTTTCTTATAAATATGAAAATGTGATTCAAATATCTTTAAAATTTATGTTTACCTTCACACTTGCAATTAATTTGAAAATGGCTAAGTATCTAATAAGTTGTTTTTACTTTTGAGCACTGTAATCTTTGTTATTATATATACTTTAACTGCAGTTATTTCTACTGGTTGTGAATGTTACCTACCACTAAATTAGAGAACTGGCGTTTTATCACACGTATACACTGTATCTATGTGCTAGCTAGTAGAGTGGGATGATGGCGGAAGGCAAGCTGACTCCGATCATAGAAACAGTAATTGGTAGTTGAACTTGTAAAATCAGAAGAAAGGTTCTTTTTCTTGAAAAAGTTGAATATATTTTTATGCTTACGTATTTTGATAGAGCGCTATTCTTTCACAAAGTTCTTTTAGTGTAGTTCAGTCCTCCTGTAAGTCCTGGTTACAATTTCCTTCAGTATGTTTAAGTTATTTTCAGTATCAGATCATTATGTTGTTTGGCTACTTATTACAAGCAGAATTTTTTCTTGTTCCATTTTGTTTTATTAAGTACTGTCTCTCATTTTATCGAGTTATAAATCATAAGTTAGAATTTAAGAAAACAGTAAATGAAAGAATCAGGATTTCTGTCTAGAACAGTGGTTTTCCTTCCAATGCAGGCACCTCCAGGCCTCAAAAAGAATCTCTTGCGGACCTATGAATCTTGGACACCAGAGCAAATTAATAAAAAGGGAAATTTGTCTAGAGCGCATTCTCTCTTTTGTTTAGCATGGTTTCATGCTGTATGCCAAGAAAGAAGAAATTATATTCCTCAGGTAATAATTTTTTTGCTACCTTTTTAAAAATTTACCCCATTTATTAGCTTTTATACTTGGAAGTATTTTTCATCAGGTATATTTTGGGTCATATTCAGAGATGAGAAAAACTTGGATGCTTCTGGTGCCTGCCTTCGTTATTGTCTCTCAAGTCATTGCAAAATAAGATCTTGGTAGCCTATATTTCTGTCCCTCTGAAAATTGCTACTGCCTGCATGGGGTTATTTTGTGCTTTGTGTACTAACTGATACTAATGCAGGAGTGAAATCTCATGAAAAAGATTCTGTGAATCCTGTTTACTTGGGACAGGAGAAAATAGTTTGGAAACATGCATGATTGCATAGAAAATATGATAAAAGTGAGACTTTGGTGGGAAGGAGGAGATGACTGACTACTTTTTTTGCACACAAACCCTGTTCAAGGAGAAGGAAGAACACGGGAATTTACTCATTACTAGTGAGGATCGTAATGGTTTCCAGAGACTGTGATGTCTTTTTTCCTTAGATAAATTTTTGTTTAAAGCAAACATTTATTTCTGGCTGCAGATGCTTAAATTAAACAGAAAAAAAAAAAAACAACCAACAAACTATTCTATGTCTTGTTTATTTTATTTAGACTAAGGGTGAAATTAACCTGTCATCTGAAAGATTCGATCTGGCAGAACCTATAATTTTTGAGAGTTTTTTGCTCCTTCTGACTTCGTGATTTATAAGGTTGTTTTCCTCTTGCCTTGCGGTAACAGACTTTGAATATGGTGTCCAAGAAGTAGAATAGGTGAAAATATTTAAAGTTCTGATCTGACACATGAACTCTCATTTGGCTTTGTTAAAATTCATGTTCATTTACCACCAGCTTTCCAAGTGACACAAAGCAGGATTACTGCTTTCTCCTTAATTCCACTGTAACTGTGTGTGTCTCATGTGCAGACTTAGTGATGGTTTTATATTTTGCTTAAGATTACCAGTTTCTAACAGTGCTGGACTGCAATTAATCCCAGTTAGAAGCTCTTGTATTTTATAATGAATTTCAGGTTGTTTTGAGTCTGCGTCAAAAAATATAGATGAACACTGTTGAGAGACACCAGTTTATGACCTTCAGGGTGACTGGCTGATAGTTTGATTGCGATCTATGGAGCAGCTACAGTCTTGACCTGAGACTGTATCCATCTCATTGGAAATGTGTATGTTATCTGATGCATTTGTATGTTTCTCATCATGAGTCATGTGCATCTGTTCCCATGATGTGATCCATGTGCAAAGTTACAGCCATAAGAAGATAGAGCAGCTGGAGATACCTTTGAGATCTGGATTTCCCAAGTTCTGTGTCATTTATGAATATTTATGTATACTTACCCATTTATATTGAAAGTTTTTTATGAGAATTGCATACGCATTGCACATGAATGCTGCATAAAGAATAATGTCACCATGAACAGAAAGGAGGTACAAACTGAGAATGATTAAAATATGCATATGACCATCAGCATTTTCTCTGTAGTAGCGGCAGTAATTGCTTTTCTCGTTATAATTTTTTCAGTCAGTAGAGAAGTGACATGAATTAAGGAGTAAGATGATGAAAGTATAATGTAGACTGTGTTTGAAGACTCAGACCTATTTATGAGAATCCAAAGGAAACTGAAATACAAAAGCCCCAGAAATAAAATGATAATTCAATGTGTGACCTAGTCACAGACATTAGTAAGTTTTAGTTGAAGTAAATACTGTTAGGAAATAAAATAATCTTAAGCTTGCATTTCTCATACTCAATGGATTCGAGTTTGTATAAGTATGTAAAATTAAATACACTGGTAGATCTGATTTTTTTTTTTATACTACCTCCACTGACTGTTTCCAAAGACGCATTTTAGAGGACATAGGTTGTCTCTTTTTTCAGTCAGTATTAAGTATTATACAATATTCAGTAGCCACATAATATTTGTATTTTACTTCAGTATCATAATTGTGTAATTACAACTAATTTTGTATTTCTTTTAATGGTAGGGTTGGACCAAGTTCTATGAATTTTCTTTATCCGATCTCCGTGCTGGTTTTGACATTATTGATAGACTCTTTGAGGGTAAGTCACTTCTCAAGGAAAGATTTCTCACCTCTGTATCATAACCCTTCTGAATGTCTCATTTAAATTTTTCAGAATATTAAAAACTTTCACAGTAATTTTTATAAAATAGTTACTTTGTGTGATTGTTTTGTTTGGATTTTGGAGTGGGGCCATTCTGTTTAAAGGCTGCTTTGAAGGTATTTAAAGTTTGCATTTGAATCTTCACTGGAACATTTTTGTGAATATAAACAGATGATCAGGTAGTTAGGTAACTACATCAGTATGGGAAGCAGTCTGACCCTGAATCAGCTGTGCTCAGGCTTATTAGGCTTTTGTGGATGTAGATCCAGACTCTGAGGATATGTCTGTGTTAGTAAACTGGTAAGGGCTGGACACAGGCTTAAAACTATTCCATGATCAGGTTTATTTTTTCTCATATTTGGCTTATACTGGCATTCTCATAGGCAGTGACAAGGCATGGTTTGTCAGATAGCAGAGCCTGGAGACTCTTTCCAATAGGCAGCAGGTAGGAGATTACCTTATTTTAGGGCAAAAGAGTTTAGCTGTATGGATGCAAACCACCTTGTGCCATCTAACCTTGAGTTCAAATGGGTCGTGTCTTGTTTTATCATTAGTAGAAATGTTGCATGAAGAGCTTTATCTTTCTACAACACTGAGATAGGAGTGGAGATACTGCAGGGCTCATCACCAGTAAGCAAAGCTAGAAACACAGAGTGAATCATAATTCCATTTTTGGGAGGTTGAGTAAACCAACAATTTTTTTATGCCAAGAGCTATTCTGTTCAACTTCTTGAGTCCAGAGGAATAAATAGGAGATATAGGAGTGCTTGGAAGACGAAGTCTTCTGTCTCTGTTCCTTCCTAGTGTGAGCTTCCCCATATATTGAATAAATGAATTGAATACGCATTGAATATGAATGAATACTTCATATTGAAATTCAGTGTTAGATGGAGCCCACTTCTGTTAATTAGCATAGTAATTAGCATAGGATTAGTTATTATGAAAAAAGTAATGTTTAAAAAAGTCTTTGTATTTTATGTAATTCTAAAGTGAAGTTAGGAACTGATAATTAGAAATAATTTATGATCATTGATTTAAATGAGATTTATGGATCATTAGTACTGCTGGAATTGGACCTTAGTTATACAGACTTGAAACATAGAGTGTTGTGAAGAGATTGAATCATTAATTATCAATGATAATCATTAATCTAATCATCAACTATTACTGTGAAGATAACTTTTCTTATGAAGGAATGATTGAAGTGTTTGGAAACAACAGTTACCACCAATAAAACCCCCCTGAAAGTAGTTGCTCCTTCCTTTTTTCAAGGGACTTTGAGAAGTATCTTTCTGATCAAGCTTTTACCTGCACGTGAAAGCTATAGGTTAAAAGCAGATCATTGTCCCATGTTGTTCTTTTGGACAACTGTGATAGAAAGGAGAGAAAATAATTTATTTTGAATTTGTGGGATATAGCTAAGCCAGAGTAATCTAATTGCAGCATTAATCTGGTCAGGAAACTAATCGTAACACGCTTAGTTTTATGTGCTGTGTTGTGTGATTTATAATCATTTACAAAGTACCTATGCTGGACCTCTTTGTCTTTGAAAGATGACATTTCCAGTAATGTTACTTATTTTGAGCATTATCTAGTTTTGGCTCAATCAATCAGTTTATTTTATGAGATCAGATGGTACTGTGATACAAAATAGTGTTATTTATGACAAAGGAGCACATAATTAAAATTTTAATAGCATCATTTCTGAAATGCATATTACCTATTGATTTATCTACAATAAAAAGCACTTTAAGACTTAAGTAATATTTCTAATAACTCATTTTGAAACACAGTAAGTGTTCGTGTTATCAATGACAAATATTTACAATGTTTAAAGTTTCTGCAACTTTCATTATTTCGTAATACAGAAGAAAAACAATTAGAAATTAGTTGGTGTGTTTGTATTTTTTATTTCACTGAAGAACTGCAATGACAAGAAGAAATGCTTATAATGCAATGGTATCCATTGATGTACAACTAATATCAATTAATTTTTAGGTTCCAAAGATTTTCAGTGGGAATTTGTGCATGGCTTGTTTGAAAACGCAATTTATGGAGGCCGTGTAGATAATTACTTCGACATGAGGGTTCTTCGGTCCTACTTGGAACAGCTTTTCAATTCACGAGTCATTGGCAGTTTAAATGCTAGAGGCAAGATGACTAGTTTCCCGCATTCAATATCTTTACCAAATTCCTGCAGTATTTTGGTAGGTATACATCTTCTGTCACCTAATATAGAAACTAAAATCAGTTATTTTCAAGAATTATTCTTGGAAACAATTCCACAAAGAAAACCAGAGTTACAGTCCAAAGGATACCTCCATTTCTTTAGGACTTCTTTTGTGTGGAGCACTAATTCTTAAGTGGTGAGAACTATTCTCCTAGTCTGTTTGGTTAGTCTCCTTTTTAATGATATCTGATTGGACTATAGTGAAGAGCAGCGTAGCTATGAAGAGCTGGGTAAAAGAAATTGGGTCAATTTCTGAGAAAGAAGGATATCATTACATTTTTATATGACAGTATATTAACATAGTAACACTTTTGTACAGACTGCTAAACATTATTGAAACTTCTGGATGAAATAGGAGAATCTAAATATATCTCCTTATTTACAAAATATATCAACATTCTGACATAATCTGCTAAAATGCCATGGAGGATTTATGACATTTTATTTGGAGATAAATGTGGATTCTGATTCTCCTTTAATATTCCTTTAGTATAAACAAGAGGGAATTCAACAGAATCTAAAGAACTCATCTGTCCCTATCCTTTCACATACTATTGTTGTTACTATTATTAAGATTCATTCGCATTTTAATGTAGGGCTCCATATGAGCCCTACATTACCTCTAATATGAGTTTATGTAAAGAGGGAAGGAATAAACAAACCAGGCTGGTCTCTATTCTGGTAGATAATATGGTCAAATAGATGAACCTTTCTTCTTGCCTGCACTGCATTTAATATGTCACAATTTCTTACATGATTATTCATGTGAGAGTTTATACTTTTATATCTTACATATTTTTCTGCAAATTATTTTGATTAGTAGAACATTAATAATAAAGCTAAGTTTGATTACTAAAGTTAATTGGAATAATGTCTCTTACTAAATAGTGTTCCCTTGGTGTTTGGTGTAAAAGTCTGCTACCGTTCTTATCTCTGAAGTGAGATTCTGTGCACACCTAGGGCATACTCTTGCAAGTGGAGGACAAAATGCACGTGATATAACACAATAGGGTGCAGCCAGACTTTGAAATAGTAATTATTTTTACCTTTAAAGCCATGATGATAAGAGGTATTCAGCACCGTTAGGCCTCTTTCTGTTTTGTACAAGAGCAGCATCACTAGTGACTATTACACTATAACCACTATTAGATGCTATTCTGCATCTTCAGTGATCATGCAAACCTGGTTTTCCCTAAACGATTTCACTTTCTTTGAGTGATAATGTCTTCATATATTTAAATAGAAATGGGTGCTCTTCATTTTATAAATATGTATTATACACTATTACTCAAATTCCAAATGCCAAAATCTTTTTTATATTGTCATTAATCTCACTTCTAAGGTTTCAACAGAAGTATTGTAACTACTTTTCAGAGACAGTCTTAGCATATTTTTCTTTTCAGTTGATAGCATCACCATAGTAAGAATGGTGCTATACAAAAGAAGATAGTTTTTTATAAATAAAATTAAGAAATTTATAAATAAGATTACTAAGATATGTCTTGTGTTATATACTTATATTAATCTTTGTGTTATCCAGTGCACTTAATGAAATTCTTTTCAGCAAGCACTGTTAACTTCATAAGCTGAACAAAAAATTTCCCTCAGTTATGTTTATTCTTTTCTTCTAATGCAGGATTATCGTAATATTATTGAAAGACTTCCAGAAGATGATAAACCTGACTTTTTTGGCCTGCCTGCTAATATTGCTCGTTCATCACAACGTATGATCAGTTCCCAGGTAAAGTTACATTTTTCATTGACCTCTGAATCTTTTCTGCATCCAGTATAAGCTAGAGAACCCAACTACCTGTTCATAAGTAAGAATTTCCATAAGAAAGTCAGAGTCTAAGTGGAGGGATTTTTGTAATATGTTGACTTTTATCTGTAGAATATTTAAATATAATATTTAATATAATAACAATTATATTTAGTTTCAAAGATATTTATTTAGGACATAAATAAACAAAGAATTTTTGAGAAAGTTTACAATAATATCATTCAGTTCATGTTGAACAGTATCCACGTATATAAGTAGTTTCACTGGTTCTCTTTATACTGTTAATTTAACTCCCATCAACGGGGATAGCTGTTACAGCTGCTGTTTGTTCTCTGCAAGTTAAGGTTTTGGTTTTGGTCACTGAATTCTATTACAATAGTTTGCCAGATAGAATATGGGTAACATTTGATACTTTTTCTGAAAGAGAAATTCTGAATAATTCTCCCAGTAGTCAGAATTCTATCTTTACTATTAGAATGTGAAATTTTGAAAAAAAATGTTGTTCTCACTGGAGAATAGCATGTAACTACTTCGACATGTCATAATAAAATTGTCAACATAATGAAAAGTAAGTTCCAGAGTTTTCGTAGGTCTTGTTTAAAAATTTACTGATTTTAAATATTTCCGTTCTTGCTTTAGCTGTAAGATATGGCAGATGGCTGTATCGTAGTCAAGAGTTCTCAGGTATCATTTAATTGCAGTTTAGTCCGGATTTGAATAGATGTTAAATATTTGAGAATGCAGCTGCAATAGTAGGCAATGATCAAACGTTTTTCACCTAATAGTTTTAGAGTTGTATGTAGAAGCCTCAGCTTGAGTGAGTGACCTGGGTCATCCATTATGCTGGGAACTATTAATGACACAGCTGGGGCAACTATTCTCACCCTTTGTGGAGCCGAAAATACTGACTGTCTGTGTCGTTCTCCTCATAACTTCGTTAGTCTAAGAAGGGAAATGATGGAGTGATTTGAACTCTGGGTGTTTTCATCTTCAGTGCATTGTTTGGTCTGTTGGACAAAGCTTTTCATCGCTAATATTTTATCACTTCCCTTAGGTGTCAATTCACTTGCCTAAAAATTGGTATCTTGTATCATCTGGAGATGTCCTAGTGTATTTAATACATCTACTAGGAGCTGCCAAGTATGACACAGGACCCAAGTGAATGCATTTTCATGTTGGGCCAGCAATTGGAAGTCAGGCAAAATGGCACTAGAAGACAGTGTTTAAACAACTGATTCCCAGTACAGTGTACCCTGATCCAGTAGAGCATGGATCTGGAGGTCCTGTGTCATATCTGCCTATCCATAACGTTTTATTGGATAACATACAGAGTCTTAAATGGCATTATATGTAACAACTGAATTGAGCCACTAAGGCCTAGATTCTTCTTCTTCTGAGGTAGAAGGTGACACCTCCTCCTTGTGTCCCCAACCCATCTTTCCTAAAGAGCCTGTATCCTTCCATTCCAAGACTCCAGTCATAGGATTCATCCCACCATGTCTCCATGATGCCAATAAGTTCATAGCCCCGCAGGCGTGCACACATCTCTTAACTCCTCTTGTTTATTCTCTCTGCTACGTGTGTTTGCATAGAGGCATTTAAGTTGGGCTCCCGATGAAGCTCACTTATGGGCTGGAGTGCCTGGAGTTCCTTTCTGCAGCTCTTCAGGTACTCTCACCTTGTCTTGATCAAGCCTGATCTTATCCCTTTTCCCCTTCAGATCTAGTTTAAAGCCCCGTCAATGAGCCCTGCTAGCTCATGAGCAAAGACTCTCTTCTCCCTTTGAGAAAGATGAATCCTATCTGGTGCCAGCAAGCCTGTGCCGTGCAGGCCATCCTGTTATCGAAAACCCAAAATTGTGGTGGTGACACCAGCCACAGAGCCATGTATTTAATAGACATGTGTATTTCTTCTGCTCGTAGGCAGGCAAAATTCCACCTTCTGTTTGTTCAAGTTTGCTGGGCATTCTAATACCTTTTAGGTAAAATATGGAGCAAGTTTAGGAATTTTAGGCAAAGCTGAAATGCTTCAGTCTATTTTTTTTTCGTTGCTTTTTTTTTTAAGTCTAGATGAATGCATATGATTACTGTATAAGCACAATTAAACACTACAGATCTTTGACTAATGATTTGTATAGTTTATTTGACTGGTAAATTAATTGCTTCAGATAAATCGAATGTTGATTGAATTGAGAGTCTTGTGTCAGAGCTGTGAAGTGATCTGGTCTGTATGTCAAGGCTCACTTTAATTTTCTGCACAGCCCTAGCATACTGTCCTGTATAAGGACAAGTTATAGGGAAAAAAAGATAATCAAATCAAAAAATACCAGGTTGGAAGGGATCTCAAGGATTATCTGATGCAACCTTTCTTGGCAAAATGAATTGGAAGTTCCCTATAACTGGAATTCCCTTCAATTTCAAGACTTAGAGTTACATTTTTTAAAAAAAATATCTGATTGTTTGCTCACACTCACCTAAAAAGGGCTCCATGCGGAAACTTCTTACTGATATAAGACCTTTGATCTGTTTAAAAAAAAAAAAAAAGTCGCATTTGAGTATTGCATTTATTGAATATCAGGTATAAATATATCTGTTCACTTAAATCCATAGCTGTGTTTTCAAATTATTTGTTTTATTATTAGCACATGAAACTATAAAGCTATATAAAGACAAATTAGTGGGATGAGAGTGCATAGGGTAATATGCTGAGCTCAAGAACTCCTCTGTTACGAAGCCTAAAAACACCCAAGAATCAATATAGCTCTGTTCATTTTTGTCTTAAAATCAACTTTAAATGCTTTTGTTTCTGTCAGATAAACTGTAGACTGCTGATTATTTTATTTATTTCAGCTATGCTTACATAGCTTGTTAAGAGCTGCATTGCTAAAAATGCCAGGTTTTGGAAATAAGTCCTTAGTTAACCTCCACAACGTCAGAATAGAATCAGAGTTCCTGTGTGAAGGGAAGTAGGTGATGAACACATTTGCATGCAGACTCACACTCTATTGAACTGGTCTGTCATAGCATTGATTATAAACTACGGGTTATAATCTTGAAAATATGAGATTTGTAGTTACAATTCTGTGAGATGCTCCTTTGTCATATGAGAGATTTCCTCATCCCTCAAATAATAGTTTGTGGTTCTTCTTTAACTTTTGGGGAATTTAAGTAACAGAAATGGTAGATTTTTCTTAAATTGTGTTCCTACCTAACTACGAATTCTACTCTCATTCCATTTCTGACAGTTTGGCAGCTTTGATCTATAGGTAGTCCCATGGTTCACAATCTGAAATTGAATGATTGCCTTCTAACAGGAGTGTTTTGCATAAATCCATTACCAAGCTATAGCAGAGAAAAGCTGAATGACTAAGGTAGTGAGAAATAAGTTGCTATGAGCTCTGTAGCCTCATCACTAGCACCAGAAAGGTGAAATTTAATGCCGTGTCCACTATGTCACTGATTCTGTGCTAAGTACGTGATATATTCTCTTACAATTTATGTCTACTATCCCATATAGTTTCTCATCTACTAGCCATTATCATTTCTCAGTCTGTATTTTTACTAACATGTCGTCCTTATGCAGAAATGCACAGAATTATTCCATCTACACCACTGAACCCGGGATTAGGGGCGTTAGTTATTTTTGAAACATACATACTTGGAAGTTACTTGTTTAAACCAACTGACAGCAATTTCGACTTTAGTCATATGTTTAGGCTCAGAGATTTAAAGTAATCATTCAGATATACATTGATTTTAAGTAAATTGTAATTAGCAATTATTATCTGTTCAAAATCTTTTAAAATAAGTATTAAAACAGGTAACACTGTGATCTATTCTATTAACCATGAAGTTAAACTGCCGTAATTCTATTACAAGAAACCTGATATCATTTTGTGACATCATTTCACTACACAAGATGGAAGACTTATGTAACAGAAATGTAGATTTGATAGAGACTTTTTATGAATATTATTGATTTTTCATGTATAGGAATGGTAGTCTGTATTGCTGCAGCAACACACTTTGCTGTAGCAGAAGTTTGCTGCATCACAGTGCAGCATTTTGCCGTCGTGCAGAGATCTCTTCTGTAACCTACTGCATTGCTAATGTTTGGGTAAGCCTAAAACAGCACTGAAAAGAAACGGACATTTTTCAGTAACCTTGAAAATATTGATTATATTCACAGCTTTTATTTTTTCCAGCAGAGAACTTAAGTTCTTATTTAAGAGCTGAATATCGCTAGCTATATTATTTTAATATTGGTAATTACTAATTGAATTGCTAGAAATTATGTCTTATGATGTTCTGCAGTGCAGTTCAGAGAGTATTAATATTGCATGCATACTGGTAAGAGCCAGTTTGGTTTTAAGAATATATTTGACTTAAATAGATATTATTTATTCAGCAACATGATTGAATTTTTTTTCTAGATTTTGTCCTCAGTTGCTTTATGTAGGTAGAGCTAGGTAAATTTTTAGAGGCTGGATTTCTAGAGTTCACCATGGATCTTCAGTTCTGCCTTACGTGCTGTTACAAGTCTTTGACACAACATCCCTTAGGATGAATATGGTTGTGAATAATCTTACATCGCTTGCTATGTTCTCTCTGCAGAACAGTGCGGTTAAAATAGAAAAGAACTCAGCTGACAGTACAGCTGCAGGAATCAGCATAGCTCGTCCTGTCTGTTTTACACCAGGTAGAGATTTTCTGTACAACTGCGACTCAAGTTTCCTCACACTCAGCTTTAAGAGTGCTCAGCACTCAGTTACAGTCATGCTCTGTTCTTCTGATCTGATAAACACTGTGTTTTTTGCCTGCCTGTTGGCCTGTATTCAGGTCATTTAATCTCCCATCTAACCTATAACCAATGATTAGAGCAGTCAGTATGTGGAGGTGTGCTTTAGGTTTCCTGTGGATGAAAAGGGTCTGTAATTTAGATCTCTCTCCAGTTGCCTTCTT